ACAGGCTCTCGTTGCAAATTGCAGTCGTGTCGCAGCCGCAACATGACCGACTGCATTTACTTGTCGATGCCGGTCATTCAACGAGTGCGTATGGAGGCTCTTCCGGCCATTGCATGTTAAGCGGTTAATGTTCTTGTCCTTCGCCGGATTGCTCCATTGCATGTGGTCGTACGTGAACGCTACTGAACTTCATGTGATGCTAGACATGAGGGCTGGAGGGCGTCGCCCCGCCGACTTGTACTTGCCTGCTTGGCTTGGTTCGCATGTTGCATTTGATTTCGCCGTCATGGCGCCACAGCGACAGGCAACCCTTGCTCAGGCAAGCATGCAGGCCGGTGCCGCGGCGGAGAGTTATGCCCGTCACAAGGAGGACCACCTTCGCACGGCAGCTGCGCGCCAGGCGCAAGGTCACTGGTGCCGAGCCCGGCCCTCTGCATGATTCGCTCCTTCAGGAGCTTAGTGTCGTCGTGCGCTCTTTCCGTGCACGCGCCGCCCTGCGGCGGCGCGCCGAGTTGAGACGTAATTGCCTTGCCTTCGGATTCCTTTGGCCTCCCGGCGTGGTCGCCCGGGGCGCTGCAGTGGTGTCAAGGGGGCTGATAGACAGTCCCTGGCGTGGGCCTGCCGTGGCGTGCTCGGGTTGACAAGGGAAGGCCTCGAGGTCGAGAGGCTCTGCTTGGGCAGTCATCATGCTGAGACGCAGTCTGTGTTCTCCTAGTGCTCCTAGCTGCTTCTTTGCTGCTGCGGGAGCAGCTGGCGGCACCCGAGCACACTGCTACACCATTGTTTCTGCTACTTCCACCTGCGTTGTAGCGAAGTTATTTCTTTGTTTGTGCTACTTCCACAGGTGTTGTAGCGATAGTTGCAAGGCAGATCCCCTTTGGAGCCTTTGGCCCACATCTTGCATGTATTTCTTTACTGCCGACCAAGTTCATACTGTGTTGATCCCTCGGTTTCTGGCGCTTGCCATCGAGGATCGTCGAGGTGTTTTTGATGCTTTTCTGCAGCTGCATACAATGCCCTATTCCCGTCGCCATCCAACGCTACTTCAAGGTTGCTCAGTGATGGTTACCCCTAGGAAGAGCTCGTCACGATTCGCCTAGTTTGGTCAGCGTGGAGACTTGAAGGCCCCCCGGCCCTTCAATCCTCGGTCTGACATGCCTGTGAAATCGGCGGAAGACATGCGAACAGTCAGTAGCCACGGGGGTGCAGCAGTTTTGAACAGGTCCTGAGGACCAGACGGACGCACTTCCTGCCACCGTCGAATATATACGGCGCTTACAGCATGCACAGCGTTGCATACGGCGCTTTCAGCATGCACAGCATTGCACAGCCGCTCTGTCAGGGCTCACTCAACCACACTACAAACCGCTGATTGCATGACAAGGGCCGTGTGCTTGGTACAGTGCCGGACTTCCCTCAGCAGGTGTTGTTCGAAGCGCGCTGCAAGATCAGAACTTCTCTCTGCTGGTTGCTGGAGCGCTGACCGTGCACCGCATTCCGGACAGCTGTGGTTATATGTGTGGATGTCGTCTTCAGGGTGTGCTACTCCAAGCACCTTTGCAGTTGACAGTTCGACAGCCTGAGACCCTGAGTTTGAGAAAGAATGCAGCTCTTCAATCCAGTCCTGGCCGCGCAGGCCGCGCAGGCCGGGCCGAGCCATATGCCCATGCCTCGCTGGACCTTGGAGTTTTCGGAAGGGGCCATGGCTAACAAATGGCAAACAGAGAAGCTCCGAAGCACAGGCTGCGCCAACGGCAGCACCAGAAAAGCAAGTCCATATGTAACAAACCTGCACAAGAAGAAGGGCAGACGACTCTTTGGACCTCCCTTCACTTTCTGTCAGCCTGGCCCAAATCAAATTTCTCAGGTGCTTCTTCCTGAACAGGATACATTCAGCGAACTTTCGGTAAGTTCAACCAAGATTGGCGATGGTCAGTCTGCTGGCTTTCGAAGACTATGGGCCTCTTCAGATGGCCGAAGTGCATGAGATCAGAACCAGACTGGAACCGCCACAGCAGCTGCGGCTCTGTTCGCGGGTCCGGCAAACCTCATGCTGGTTGGTTCGACTCAGTTAGATTCAAACCTGTCGACCTAACACCTCAGCAAATACGCCATACGCAATAACTGTCGCTATCGTGCAACATCTTGGTTGCATCCAGGCTCGTGAGGCTTAATTCAGGTTCACAGTCGGTGGATATGTCATGCATCTGTCGACAACGGTTCATTTCTGGACTCAATGACCTTAAAGGCGTTCCCAGCAGCCGATTCCTTACCCGTGGTTCGCTTGTCCTGGGCAGCCCTGATCTGAAGTCGAGTTGTGCTTCCCCCTGCATGCAGAGAATGTGCAGTTTAGCCAGTTTTAGCCTGCTAACATGCTGCCGGGTAGCATGGCCCCGGATGGGGACAAGGGTGCACTACATCGCGGGCATTGAGATGCTGCGGGGCCTGTGTTGGGGCGTCTGGGTGCTGCACTTGGCGGCTCTATGTGCTGCTTCGTCGTCCGGAGAACTTCTTCTTGCTTGGGCAGCATGGGACATGATCACTTGCCTGGAGGCCCGAACATGACACGGCCACACAGGGAAGCCTGACTGCACACACATGCTAGAACACAACATGCAAGGGGAAGGGGTGAAAAAGCAATGCACGGGCTCAGCATTGAGAATCCGCCGGAAGTGCCGGGCATGCAAGAAGAGTCCCACACAGTCCGACCCCCAGGAAGTGAAACTTGCCTTTCCGGCGGCCGACCTTGGGCAACATCCGGAGCTTGAGAACTATGTACATGCGATCGCGCCAAGAAGCTCAAGCGCGCACGAAGCTTCTCACGGAGCTGGCACGAGAAACACGCCCCGTTTCTGTTTCACGGTCCACAGTACGGCCAGACCTCTCCCTCAGGTCTCCGGGACTGCGGACTTCATCTCCAACAACCTCATAGGTGCTGCAAGCGGTCTCGGGTGACGGTTTTCCTTACAGCAGCGCTTCCCAATGATCTATTGTAGCATCTCCCCTGCAGCCCCGTCACATCCAACTTCCAAATGACTACAGCATAGTATGCCTAGTTCGATGCGAAGGCCAAGTGTCAGAAGTTGTTGATGCCGCCTGAGGCATCAGCTCCGACCGCAGCTTCGCAAGCAGGCGCTGCAACCGTGGGGAGGCTTCTCGCTCTGCCTCTAGCTTCCCGACAGTTCGAGGTGCAAACTGACTGGGGCTGGACAGAGCTTCGCCCGTGCACCATCAAGCATACGCACACACACAGAATCCTAACACACCAGCTTGCAAGCACAGCAAGTTTCCATAAGAAACGCAAGCACCCCAATGGAAGTTTGAAGCTCCGAAGCCGTTGCTGGGCCTGTGTTCCATGCAACTTGGAGCAGCTTCGTTGCATGTTTGGCTTACACATCACACGCTCGCGACCTTACAAGTCCAATTTCGACAACCCTTTCGGCTTTAGCACAGGCTTTTGGACAAGCAGGTTCCACCACGCACAAGGTGCAAATGCAAATACGCCTCCTTCCAGGCACGTGAGACAGGGTCGCCAAAGTCACAAGCAAGCAATTGGCAACGGGTGGGGTTGGATAAAGCAGGAGTTTGACTGGCAGTGAACAAGCGACGTCCTGAAGACGAAAACACAAGCCGTGCAAACACCACCGCGGCTGCACCTGCAGGGAGATGCTAAGCTTGATAGCCGTTGATAAAGTCCTCTCCTGCCCAAAGCATTAAGTCATGGAGAGGTAGACACTGACCCTGCTCAACGTACGTGGCACAAGCATGCCACGACGCTCCTTTCCTTTCTACTCTTCAGACACATGTTGCTGCTGAAACCCTACATGACATGTGCAAGTTGCATCATGTTGCCTTGTCTTCAATCCGGTTGAGGAGCTCGAAGGCCTGCACCTGCGATCTTTTCGGTGGAGCAAGGCGGAGCAGAATGCCACGCGATCCGAAGGTGTGAAGACTTAGTTGCGGCCTACTCAGCCGGACTAGCGACCTTGTTCACCCACCTTGCCCTTGACCTTCATGCTGTTCTCTGACCAACCAACTTCACACGCAAACTTCCACTTCTTCCGAAGGTGTGCAGAAGCCTGCGCGAGCATGGTCATTAAGAGGCCACAACGCAGCGAGATTCCCCATTCCTCCTGTCGGCTGGTCTGGGGCGGGGGCAGGGACAGGGATTTGGTGCAAGTGATATCCGAGCAACATGACGTACCCAAGCCATTCCTTTGCATTCTTTTGCATTCTTCGGGCAGTTCTTGCTGACACCCGATTCACTGCAGCAGATGCCCTGGCAGCTGGGCAGGGGCAGGGGTTTGGCATTCTTAGGCTTGGAAGGTCGCAGTTCAGAACACGCACGCACCGTCCAAGAGCAGCGTCCTCCATGTCCAAGGTCTTCTGGTGAAGATCTTCCCGGCCGTGAAGTGCAATTTGCTCCTTTGTTTGTCAAATCCCGTATTCTGCAATCTGCAACATGGTGCAGCAAACGCCGTGAAAATTCTGAACCTTCCGGTCAGAAAAAGCCAAAGACAAGCCGGCCTCAAACAGGCGATGCGCGTCCTGCAGCAATCGTCTGGCCTTACCATACTTGAGGTACAAACTAATCGCATGCCTATGTGCCCCCTGCTGGGTGTGGCCAAGTTACGCTTTAGTGCGCTGACGCTCCACCGAAACTCACAAGTTTGCTGAGCTCATGTTGGCACGCTTTCGCGTCCGCTTCGTGCCTTGTTTTTGAGCCTGCACCTCGTCGGAACTAGCCGCACGGTGAAACTTTGAACATGGCCTTACCGGCGCTGCTTCCCACGTATAGTCCACCAACTTTGGAGCGAGGTCCTTTGGCTTATCAAATGATTTCTAAGGTCTTCGGGGCGCAACTGGCGACCACTTGCTTGGCAAGGCCCGCCAAAAATCTGATGGGGCGGGGCTCCGAACGGTCCTTCCCAGGTTTCAGGAGGGCCAGGAGAGCTCCAGGAACGGAACGCCTCGCAGACTTAAAACTCCGCAGCAGGTCGTCACTGGTTCAGGCCCAGCTCCAGTAGCAGATCCCTGGGCAGAAAGGGGCCACATGCGAAGGCTACCCGGCCTTTTGGTGGCTGACATGTGCATACGCGCCGCCAAAAAAAACCCATACTGGACTCGTGAGCTCTTCCCGGGTTAGTCTTCGCATCGTGCCGTTTCCTTGGACCCAAGCGGAGAGTGCTCGTCGTAGCAGCGCGAGACGATATTCTCCAAGACTTGCAGGCTGTCCTCCGCATACGCAAGGTTCTAGAAAACGACACAGCCGAGCTTCGGAATGTTGCAGGTAGATGTGAGACTTCCAGGGCTTGTCAGGGCACTCTGCTCCCGAGCAAAATCATACTGCTTTAAGCCGCGAACTACTTGGAAAGCGACACTAGGCTACTAAGCCACAAAGCTGCTGCCTGCTCCTGCACATCTTCGGCATCCATGTCTTCCTGCGACCGTTTGCAAAACCTGTGCTCATGACCTTTACATCGCACGTACGAATATTGCGGAGTGGCGGCGTCACGAAAGGCTGATCCATGCGGTTTTCGCTCGGACAGAAACCTCTACCCAAAGCGCAGCTGCCTCAAATCCCATGGCGAGGTCCTCACGGCATGACAGTCTGAACTCACCGTCACACATTTCGCAAAACTACATACGGCGTCATGCACTTGTTCGGCCTCTTCCCGCTGGAAACGCATGACCTTGGTCTCCGATGCATCGGGGCAGTATGCTCAACTTCAGTCTTGCACTTGGAATACTAATTTCAAGCTCCCGTCTAAGCAGTCAAGCCATAGTTCCGTCCGCAACCAGATGCTGACACTGAGTCGCTTGGATAGTTCTCCATGTGCGGAGTTGTCTTGTTGTCGTATGTGTTGCCCTGCATCTACGTGGGTCTTTGACTATGTCATTACAAGATGCTCGCTCTTTCGCTCCCGATCACACACGCATACAGTGACACAAAGAGACAAAACAGAGACGTCAAAACAGAAAACAGACAAGAGTAATGCGGGAGCACTAACCTGTCAACTATTATTTGTCACTTTTCGAACCATACGCTTAAGAGAGAGAAACTACGAAAACAGTGGCAAAACAAGATGTATAGGTTGCAGGAATGATGTTTAGCTGTCGAGAGAGTAATCACCACAGCGCAGCAGAGAATCTAAGCACGTCAGATGATCCACTTCGTATGAGGTACTACCGGGCTCGAAAAGACAGGCGCTGTGTCTGAGTCTGAGCCCGCGGCTATGCCCGATTTACCTTCGCGAAAAAGAACATTGCCACTGACCCAGATACGGCCCTTGATCAGGTAGAGCGTGCCGTTGTCGTCCGTGATCTTCCACCGCTGCCCCAAAGCATCTATGCACCTCTGGGCAGGGCGGCGGGCCCAAGGCCGAAGGCGGGGAACTGCCCTGTCCTGGCCTGTCGCCGATGAAGGTCAGGCGGTGCATGAACTGCTGCGCGATGCCGGAGAACGAGGGTTCCAGCGCCTCAATCAACTGAGAGCAGGGAAACCTATCCAGAACGTGACGCATCCTGGAGCCTCGTGAAACTTTTAACACCAGTGGCCACACTGTGGAGCTTCCCGCCAAGTGGCCCAGGTCCCCTGGAGAACCTCCAAGCTGGAGTGCTTCCGTTTTCGCCTAGACAGGGTCCAAAGTGTTCCAAAGCAAGATCTTCAGTGAAACACTTCATCGGTTCAAGCCACATGTGTGAAAGATGCCAGAAAGCTATAACATGTGATCCCGGATTCCGGTCTGCCACCCCGCCCCTCACCCAACCCTGACGCCCTCTTGCACGGTACGGGGCTGCCTGCAGCAACAACTGTCACAGGGATCGAGCCGTTTTGGGTGCGATTGGATCGTCACGACGATATAAAAGTCCCCTTTGTTTTTGCAGGGGCAGATTGCGAACACGGCTCTCGCCGGAACAGAACCCACCACCCAAACCGCCGGTGGGGAGGCGAGGCGGCGGTTGTCAATGTAACGATCCGCATGACAGCCAGTGCTTCTACAGGGGGGGAACGCTCCAGAGCCACACCACAGCGAAGGCTATATCACCGTGACAGGATTTGATAGGGGCACCAGAAGCAAGCGTAAACTGTCAACGCGGTAAGGGACCTCCTTCAACGACTTTTGTGGATGGGGTGTTTCTCGCGGTTCAAGTCACTAGCCTGCGCATCTGGACGTTTCCGTGTGTGTGCCTTTACAGTGGGGCGCGCATGCTCGCAGTTCTGTCTTGCAGACACAAGCACAAGCAGCGTGCTCAACGCAAGCCTGCGCGGCTTGAAGTTGCTGCAAGCAAGGGCGTCTCTCTGTTGATCGTCCAGTGGACATGGTGGCAGGCTGCAACATCGGCAGTGGAAACCCTCTTCCGACCAGACGACGTCCGTCTCAACCTCAGCAACAGCACATTGCATTCATTGCATTGCTCGCTCTGCAGGAGTTTCCTCTCAGTGAAGGACGCATGCATCTGCCTTCCCGAGCATGGGATCTGTCTGGACGGTGCCGTCCGTTCCGGTGAAAAGAAGGCTGAAACCTGACACGGCCAGATCCCTGTAATATGCCCAACACAGGAAAAAATTGGGCGATGCGGGACTGGCCTGATGCGCCCCTTCCATCTGATGACGAAGTGTAGCACAAGCTTGCAGAGCTTGCCCCATCGCGGTCGCTGCTGAACCCTGAGTATGCCAGCATGATCGGAGGGTCTCCAGACCCTCTGTCCATTTTGGCGGGTCGATCCTTCTCCTTAAGATTGGCAGCAAAGCATTTCAGCAACGGGATTCATTGGCACACTTCTTGCCTGATTAAGGAAAGGGTCTGGTGGCTGTGGAGAACCAAGAGGGCTCGGTGAAGGAACCACATGGTCGGGTGCAAGAGGGTGGCGAGTGTCCTCCAAGCACGTCTGGCCGGGCCCACGTCTATCAAAGCTGCGTCGTGTGTAGCACTGCTGCTCTGCTGGAGCTCCTGAACTTCGGGATCCGGCTGAACTCGGCCGGGTGGGGACCTCACTCTGCTCTGCTGTGCTGCAATGCTCAGAACTCCTCCAGACGTCGAACTAACCCTTTCGAACACGAAACTCGCGCATGCCTCTTGCATGCAACAGGTTTCCGTGCCTTCTTTGCTCAGTGAAGCCCGAGACCCGCCTGGAGACGCAGAACATGTGTATGGTAAGACCTTGCTTGCTCACCGAGTTCCATACTTGATGCCAAGCAGGTAGGTCCGTCCTGGAGTTGGAGTGCAACTCCATACATCCAGATACTGCGTAGCTGGACAAGCCGTAGCTGGCCTGGCCGTCCATGGTACAGGAGAATCAGCTGACAGGCCTGCCATTGATCGCCGAAGCAGCACAGGGCAGGACGACTGACTTGGTGCCCACTAACCGCTAACCCCACTCAGCCACCAACGGTGGGGGCCGGATCTGCTAAGATCAGCTTCACGGTTACGCTTCTTGGAATCCGCGAGCCATCCTCGGGTTCTGGGTGGGCTGCTAACACTACCATTGGCATCCATGGCATCCATTAGCCAGGCACCACCAAGGCCCTCGCTATATGCTTGCACAACTGCGAGAAGTTGTCCCTGACGGCACGGTCTTCGACAATCCGACTTCTCTAGGCATGTCATACTGCACACAAGGCAAACAAAGCGCACCGGACTGCATCTGGCATTGCCCCGTAAACTGCTCAAGCTTCCAGAAGGCGAAGCAACAACTGTGATAAGTGAGCTAGCGAAGGCATGCGAGGGCTGCCTGTAAGCTTCGTCCACCAGCATCAGGAAGCTCGAACCCTCCACCTCGTGCAAATTCAAGGACTATTGCCAAGACCCCTCCGCGTCGTCTCCCGCGAGTTGGTATCGGGAATTTCAGAAGCTGGCACACAGTCGCGAAACCCTCTATGCTGGTGCTGTCGATTCGATGCACTACCTGCATGATACTGCGAGCCCGCGACTAGCGAAAGTGTAGCCGAGCGGCATCCTTCCCGAAAAAAGTCTTGGCAGCTTGTAGGGAACCATTGCATATCCGGAAGTCCTCTCATTCAGACATGCGTGCAGCAGCTCCAGCCACAGTTCAACAACTTGTCAGTTATCTGGTGTCTGCGTCCGGGGCATCTGGGGCTCTTTTCCAGCATCGCAGCACGGGACAGCTGAAGCGATGTACCAAGCAGACACGGATGAAAGGCGTTGCTTGACCGGGACTTTTGTTCCTGGAGATGGAAGCCTTCCTAGTCCTCATGTCCTCGTGCAAGCTCAGGGCTAAACAGCAGCCGTACAACTTGAAGATTTTCAAGTCGCGTGCCAAGGCGGCCTTATGCAGCTGTGGTCAGACCACTCAAGAGGCATGATTCAGCAGGACATCTGCCACAATGCCACATGACATCGAGCAGACTGAAAGAACAGCCGACTAAGAAGAGTATACGGTAAGTTATCGGATCTGGGTGGACGGCCTTAGCAACTCCTTTCTCCGCAGAAGCCTCAACACCAAACAGGCATGAAGAATCTGCAATTGGTAAGCTCGCCACGATCTCCGGAACAAGGTAAGGGCACACAACGGCCACAACATGCAGCAGGTTCTCGGCTGCTTGGGAATTTCTCGGAGATGGGGTCTTCTGATGCCGGCAGCTTTTTGACAAGTGTCTCATGCCAATTTGCACGGGCGGGGCCCCTCTTTAACTTCATGAGAACGGCGAGATCACAACATCCATCCTTCCTTGCATTCACGCGCCTCGTGCATGAGGGAGTCCTAGTGCATCGACAGATTCAGCAGGTTCTCAGAATTATGTACGGCAAATGTGGACAACATGAAAGCACCGGCTGGCAAATCTGTCGCCGTTTTTCGCCACGGTCACTGCACCCCATGGCTCCTGGGAACACGCACGCATCCAGCCCTCTCGGAAGCTTCGCTCTCTTCCGTGAGCAGCACCTTAAGGTTTCAGAAGGCACATGCTTGGACGACCAGTGCATCTTTGGCCGGGCTGCAACTTGAGATATTCCATGCTCGGCATCCGGCAATATGAGGAGGTCAGCAACCACAGCAACAGAGCAGCATTCAGGAGCTGCACGCCTCAAGCACAAAATCTCAAAAACTGAAGACATGCACAGCTCTCGGAGATGATGGAGCATCCTCGCTCGGAGGATATTCTGTGCTAACGAGCGTGTCAGAAACGGTCAGAGCAAAACCGATACGTGTATGAGCTAATGACCTTGCCACAACCGCACATCTGTCGCAAGCCATCCAATCGTTCTGCTGGTGAAGCCAGGCCTGACTGGCGACCTTGGCTAGCGGCAGCGCCCATCACGGCCTGCAGGAGCCCAATTGGGTAAGCCAGCTCACACGGCAATTCTGGTCTCATGGCCACTTGGCCTGGAAGCAGCAGGCCACCCCAGCCAGGATCACCAACGGACCGAGGAAGCAACACCGGAGAGGGAGCACATGGCAAGCAATCGAAACGAAGGCCTTGGTACAACTTACACACTACTTACACCTTCGTCGATCGTTCAGAGCGGCAGAAAGTGCTGGCTGCCGGGTATCCCGCAACGCTGAGAAGAGCTGCGGAGAGCTCTGATGCTTCTCCATCCAAGCAGTCCAGCTCCCTGGCAAGACTGGCATCAGTGCCAGTATTGCAAAGCACACAGTGCTCACAGCCTCTCTTCAACCCAAAGTCGCCACCATCTTCCATGGAGGACACCGGCCTCAATCAATTTCCATGGCTCGAGCAATGAAAGATCTCGCTCGTTCTGTCCCATCACGCTCGCTCTCTCTTCTGATTCTTCTTCTTCAGCACAGCCAGTGGACTCTTTCTTTTTTTCTGCCGGGCTTAGCGGTCACTGTTGTGACCCTCAGGCCTTCAGCCCGCCCGACCATCCATTGTGTTAATGAGCGGACAGTTTTGGGGTCCCGCTGACCGCGGCTGTACTACAAAGTTTGCCCTGACTCCCCGAGTTGCAAGCCCCGACCCTCAACGCTATCGCACACCCAACCTGCCTCATCTCCGTGCCCCTGTGGCTACCAACCGCGGGGCTTGCATTTCACAGCTCGGACATCTCCCACATGCAGCTGCTGGCAGAAGGGTCGGCCCAACACAACATGTCCACACAGAAGCCAAAACCCCCTTCTGCTTGCGGTGCTGTCTCTCCGGGGGGTGTGAATAGCAAAAGAACTGTTCCGAGCAGCTGCTGCCCTTGGGGGGTCTTTGGGGTACTCTACCCTGCACGACAACAAACCCGTCACCTAGGCAGCAAGGTCCCCCCCTTTGTGCAGCAGCGACTCGGCTGCTAGTGGGGTTGTTATGTCGGTAAAGAAAAGGCTCGGCGCACGTGTTGGATATCATGCACCCCACTACGTGTTCCCTGAGCCTTGGTGCCTTCCCCCCTTGACTGTGAGACTCTACTCGGGGTCCACTGCACGGCCTCATGCTCAGCAAAACGGCAGCCTATCACGAACGTAGCTGGAATTACCGTGGGCCTCAAGGCTGGGCTAGCGAGGGGCCTGTCGAAAGTAGGCACTCCTAGGTGCTTAGAGTACGTGTCTTCCCCCAAGGTTTCACTTGCATTGCAACTTGCTACCTACGTGCATTGGCTGCCCCAGCTCACTGACTCACTTTTTGTCAAAGGAGGAACCGAACCGCAAGCCCCCCTAACGAGTCGTCCTGGTCAAGTGAGCTGGGGTCTCGGCTCACTGTGCTGTCACTTGGGGCACCTCCCCTCACGTGTCGTTGCTCCCCTGACGAGCTCCACTTCTTCTTCGCCCCCTCAATACTCGAGGGCCCACTTGTCGAGGTGTTCCAGTGCGCTGCGAGCTGCTTGCAGCGTGTCCCCCACCAGGAAGGGTAGCAAGTCTCGTAGTGTTCGCCTTGCCCTGAACACGTGCGTCGCATCGGCTTGCCCCCGCTGCTCTCCGGCTGGCTGCTCTTGCGCTCCCCCGCTCAGGGCTATCGCGTCAACCGGGTGCGCTTCCATTCTCTCATGCTCTCAGAGCCCAACAAGGACTTGCACTCCGTCCGCGGCCTCCTCCAGACAGTTCCGCAGTTTTTTCGGGCTTTCCATGCCCAGCGGGTACTGCGCGATGAGGCCATGTATGCACACCTCTGCTTCCTCTGCTGCATCGGTGCGCATGCCCCCCCAAAGGAGCGCTTGGCCGCTCTGGGTGAGCTCCATCACTTCTGCCAGCTCCCCCTGTGTCCTCTGCTTGCTCTCTCGTCGAGGATCCCCATCACCAGGGCTGCGATCTGGAAAGCGTTGGGGGAGGGTGGGGCATGAACGCCCCTTCTCCCCAACTCCGCGTCAGCTGCTAGGCTAAGGCTCGTGGCTGCTGCCGCAAGGTGCCCTTCGACCCAAATAGATCTATGGTCCTCGCTAGGGCCATTGCTTGTTGGATGTGCTCCGCTGCCGCCGCTGCTTGTGTTGCTGCTTTGCTGCTTCTGGTCCTTTCCTCCCCCGTTGCCATCCGCACGCGGTCCAGGCTTGACGTGCCTGGGTCCCCCACTCCCCACATCGTTTCTTCGGTCTCACTGCGCAGAAACGCCAAGGCTTAACTTCGGGCCTTTTTCAGAGGGGCTTTCTTCGATTGCCATGGCACTGTGGTGGCCTCCCCAAGTGATGCTGGCGTGGTGGTGCTGCTGTTCATGCAGGTCTGGCCCCCTTTGTTCCCCCAGCTCCGGTGGTCCTGCCGGGGGGGGTGTTTGGACCATTGGAGTGATCCGGGGGGTCTTCGCTCGGCCAGCTGGTTTCCGAGTCACTGGGCGGCTGTGGTGGCGGTCGTTTGGGAGCTGCCGGCTGCTTTGGTTGTCCCCCCGCTGCCTTGGGTTGGGTCGCGTGTCCTTCGATAGGGACAAAGGCTCTGGCCGTTGGCGAGTAAAAGGAAAAGCCCTGCTGTGTCCCCCCTTGTGGTCGGGGTGGTGGCTGTCTCCCTCTCCCTCTTCATTCGTCAAACCTGGGCGAAGAAGGAAGAGAGAGAGAGAGAGAGAGAGAGAGTACTGTGAAGAGACACTCTCCCTATCTCACATCCCCTTTGCTTTGTTCGGGGCCCCCTCTCCCTCTCCCACTCCCTGTCCCTCTCCACTCCCCCTGCCACCAGATATGGGCCCCCTTCAAAGGAAGGATCTGGGCACAGTGAAGCGAGAAGGGACCTTGACTTGCCTGTGCAAGGCCGTTTGTGGCCTGATGACATAGTTGGCCCAAACCAACCGCAGAGGCGGTACTAGGCGAGGGGCGCTACCAGGAAAATGCCCCCAAGATATCGAAACCCCCCTTCAGAGGAAGGATCTGGGCACAGTGAGGCCCGAAGGACCTAATGGCCTTTGCACGGAGCAAGCTGTTTCCACTGCTACACAGAGAGAGCTATGGTGTCTTGAACCACTTGCGAGTCCATATGTAACGGAATATATACATGTCCGTATGCTGCAGTGCCATGGTTGAAAGTACTAGTACCTATGCAGAATTCATACTGACCGCCACGGGGCGTCAAGGATTCATGGTTTCACCCCATCCCCCTCCACCTCCATCCCTCTTTCCTTCGCGAGGGCTGTGGCAGGGAGTTGCCTCCCCACCGCTTGCCGGGCGTTTGGGGTTGGGGCTGCAAGCCTCCCTCCCCTGCGCAGGCGCGTTACGCTGTCTCTCTCTTGCTTGCTTGCTTGCTTGCTTGCTTGCTTGCAGGGCCCTGCGCGCGAGCGCTACGCCGTGGTTCGTGTTCGGTGTGGCACGGTGTTACCCCGCACCCCGTGTGATCTTCGCTTAGTTGCGGTCCCAGCCTTGTCCAGCATGCTGGTTTCCGTGCTGGTTGGTCGTGAGCTGTCTCTCTCGTCTTCTTCTTCAGCACAGCCAGGGGAGTCTGCGTGCACCGACCCCCCGCGCGATTTCGCGCACTGGGGAGTTAACGTGCTGAGAAACGCAGTCGGACATAAGAGACCGGGCCTGTACTGCCAACCACAACACCCGAACACTAGTACCCCCAACCCGCCTTGAAGACCAGAGCTCAGACACACCAACGGCAGGGGCCTGGGTCTCTAAACTTTTAAGCCTGAGGGCCTGACCAAAAAGGTCTGCCCCCACAAGAAATCCGACCCTACTATCGGCGTTCCAACGCGAGTGAGGCTCCAGGTTCGAGGCAAAAACACGCAAATGCCCACCCACACTGTTGCTCTCTCTGTCTCTCTCTCTCTCTCTCTCTCTCTCTCTCTCTCGCTCTCTCGGACTGCGGCGACAGTGTTGGCACTGATAGCACAGGTCCACAGAGCCTCTGAGAAGCCGCGGCACCTCAGAGCAAAGGCGTGGCATTTTTTCGGGAACTTCGCACTCGACTCCTAAAGGCTTAACGGATGTTCCTGGGCAGTCCACCTCTCACCTTTGGAGAAGAGGCCGTGAAGGCAGGCAAGAACCATCAGCACCGCAGCACTTGCCTGCTTCATGCTGAAGGCAGTACATGCACCAGCCACACGCATTAAGCCAAGCTGCCAAGCCTGCATCAACAAGAACATCAGATCAGGCGCTGACATGCCGGCATTCCAATGCATCTCCTTACGCCAAGATTCACCACTCATTCCCTTTGCTCACGAGACAGGGTACTGTCAGGCCTGAGACAGGCGATTGGCAGCGATGACGAGCTGCAGTGCAACCTGTGTCAGACCTGGCAGCAGAACACCAGCACACCAAAGCATCCACAAATGATCACAAACGTCACCAGTGCAAGCAGCTCATGTTGCGGAACGTCTTGATCTGGAATGTCACGATTGTCGGTTTCCAACGACTGCTAAGCAGCGGAAGGTTTGGAGGAAACCCCGACGTCTTGATACTGAAGACATGGCAATTCGATTCCGATGGAGGCAACCAGAGTTCCGCCAACAGAAGTGACAACAGCCGGCCTGAAGCTGCACTATTAGAGGAGTCAGCTCAAACCTCTCCGAGACGAAGCTTAAGCTTCGCGAAGATGCCTGCTGGAGCTGCTAGTCGAAATGACTGCTGCACCAAGTCATGCCGAAAACGAAGCTCGTTTTCAGGGCTGGCAAAGCGAAGGTCGGCTGCGCGAACTGTCTGCCTGCAATGGCGATGGCATGGCACTGTGTTACCGGATAAGGTGTCGACAGGCTCGGCGGCTCGGCCTGAAGCTGGAAAGCAGGCCGAGCCAGGCCACTCTTCCAGCCATTCCGAGACATGGCCTGGAACCTTGAAGGCCCTAGTTGCAGCATGGCGTGGACTGTTCCGGTGGAGGAGATCGATCTTCTCTGTGTTGAGCGCAGATGCAAATTCTGCCGAATGAACAGAACATGTCATGGCAGCTGCATGAGCCAGGAATGGGACATGGCGAGCAGCAGCAAACGAGACTGAACCTTTGCTTCTGAGGCGACACCCTCTCTCCGGGTCGCAACACAGATCAACCATGATCAACCTTTCCCTGATGTCGGAAACTCAACGGCCCAAGTAACCGACGGCCAAGGCTGCGTTAGCAGCGGCAGTCTCGCGATCAGCCTTAACAAACGAAGAAACGCTCATCTTTCTCATCGTCACGATCCCTCCATGTCATGATCCGAGAGCAGTACTGCCCTTCGAAGCTGGAGTTTCGTGGGAGACGCATTTCTCAGTTCCTGAACATCGCGAACGCGCCAACAATTCCGGAAAGAGTAAGGAGGTGTCAGGCCTGTGCCACGAGAAGCTCTGCCTTAGCAGAAATGATCGCCAGGCGCCCAAGGCGGAAGCAGTGGTGGGCCTTCAGAAAGTCACAGTCCAAAGCATCCTCCCAGGCGATGAGTAGCAGCGGCCGAAGAGGATCAGCGGACTCTGGCTCTGCAGACTTGGAGATCGCCAGTGCGACGGCGGCACCGTGCAAGTTGCCAAGCGCCAAGCGAAGATCTGGCAGGGCAGTTCTCGAGGAAAGCACACTGGAACCCCAAGCACTTGACACGAGACATCAAACACACGGCCCAGGGAAAATCCACGCATCTCATGCTTTTATGAATCATGATAATAATGAAGCACCCGGGCTCTGCGACTTCTGGCCTGAAAGAAGTTGCCGCATGAACACCGCAGCTGGCAAGGCCCGAAGGCTATCTTCGCACACCGGGGCATCCATTGCATCGAACCGAGGAAGGAGTGAGGTCAGCTCTGCATCCAGCTGCAGCAGTTCATCGCGACTTGAGAGACATGCTGGAGACCAGAAACCATCTGGCCACGTGTTTGAGGAGCCTCGCTTGAAGTGCTTCCGCTCAAAGGACAATGCCTCGAGGACAAGTCTCCAAGCTGCTGCATCCTCCAGGCCTGGGTTTAGGTCGGAATGTGCACCAGGTACTTCGCCCTGCCAATCACCATCACCAAGGGCAGCTCTCTGCTTTTGCTGACGCGATTCTTCGGCAAGGGCAGCCAAGCTTGCATTTTTTCGGGCTATGTACCTGGACAGTTCGACCCTGGAAAGGACTCCATGGACATCACCGTCCTCGTCGTCAACACCTCCTACGCTGCAGTTCAGAGGAGGTGGCTCTGGAACAGAAGACAAGTCATATGCAACTTCAACCGGCGCGGTTGGAGAGTACTCAATCCGTTGCGGCCTCGGCGGGCGCTGGCCCTGCAGAACAGGACAAGCCTCCCTGTGCTTTGCGGCCCTGCCTTTCCAGGAGACAGGCGAAACATTCCCCACGCGAGGAGCACATCGCGACTGCCACGTCAATGGCGAACGATATTGCAACTCAAGCCGTCCAGTCATCCGTGCGACGTCTTGCGAAATGCATCGCCGCAGCCACGGAGCCAGGCCGGGCACTGCTACGTGTACTGCGTTACTGTGACGTGAGCTGGGACAGGTCTGTCGAAGTGTTCTCGTGGTCCATCTCATGGCTCTTAAATGTGTTTAGAAGGGAGGCCAATGTTCTGCGAGCCAAAGGCAAACGAGGCCAGCCAAGGATGCATTTCGAGGGACTCAACTCGAGATTGCTGTATAATGCAGATGGCATGTGGTCAGCAATGCTGCTCAAAAAATACACGCGCAACTGATTTCATGAGCACTGTTGCAAAGCAGTGGGGATGACCCGCAAGCATTCTTGTGCCACTGCAGGGTTTTATCCCAGCAGACGAGCAGACTCAGGCGTCGTCGCTTAATCTTTACACAAAATTGACCAGCCTCGACAATGATTGCAGAATCCGGTTGACGGCGTGGCTCTGCTCATCTGCTAGCAGAAGTTCGAGGGCTCGAGGGTGAAACACGGGCGTGCAGAGAGGCAACCAAGGTTGCCAGTTGTGCGAAGGAGACTCTCTCGTGCCAGAAGCGCTGATTAGTTGGCTGCGTATGAACAAGCCTTGGCTGAGATCGCCTTCTGACGAAGCCATACCAGTAAAGTAGCATCGTCGTCATGTTGAGCATCATCCATCCACGGTGAACTTGAATTACCGGATATCAATACGCTTCCCCGCTCGGCTGTTCAGACCTTTGCGAAGGTTCTGCAAACCTGAGGCAGGCACAGAGCTCTCAGTGAAAGCACAACTGCCTCGCATGCACGGCTGCGAGCAAGGATCAACAAAGCAACAGAGGCTGAAAGGACAGCACGAGCTTCTAAGGCTACAGTGTCACCTACCACTACATGCAAGAGCTGCAGCGTGCTAGTTGAAGTTCCTGACAAGTTGGACTGCCTTGGCACCTTCCATCTTTCTGGTTCGTTTCATGCCGTGGTTCTGCAGGCTTCTGAGTCAGGTGGTGCGATCTGAAAGCAGGAAGCTAGCTGCTAGATCACAATGACTGCAAGAAAGCTCACGGTGGCAAGAGAGGTCCGACGCTCTACTCAAATACTGACCATGCTGACATTGGACTTGCCGCTGAGACACGCTTGGCTGCAGATGTCGTTCACCTTCCGGAGGCGATCCTGCCAACTTCTCGGTGCTGCGCAGCTCACCAGCAGGCAACCGCCTCGATGCTCTTTGTGGCCATGTCGTAGTCGCCGTACTCACCCGATGGAGTGTTCCCCATTTCAGCCTTGCGAAACACACACGGGCACGAAGCACTGCGCATGCATGCATGCTGCAAGTTGAGCACGACGTATACAATCTGCAGACGACATCTGAGCCCTGCTGTTTTGCAAACTGCCATGCTCGTCTTGAGTCATGATGGCATGTTGGCGCCGGATAATGGAACGAGCTGGCATCGATTCAACCTGCATCACATTTCGAGGACCTGCAACAGAAGCTGATGGTTCAGTGCCGCCGCAAGTTGCAAAAGCTTCTCGTCTTTCTGTGCTGCGGGAGGCTCCAACCTGCATCTTGCCCTGCAGACCGTCATAGAGAAGCGTGTTGCCTCAGGCGCCGAGAAGCAGCAGACTTGCTGATACTGCTCCGAACCAGGCTTCGAGGATCTCGCAGAAAGGCGAGTACTGCTTGGTGACCAGCTTCACGACCTGGCATACCCGCACACACCAAGCCAACATGCTACGGCCTGCGACCTCCGAGGACCTGAGCGTGAGCCTTCAGGCTTATCTCACATGCCCCCCGCACTTATCATCAGCCTCCTGCGAGGTGATGCCACCAAGTACCGAAGATGTGGTATGTAGCTCACAGCCACCATATCGTACCACCTGCACACGAGTCCAGCTTCGTCAACTAGGGTGAGGCTTCAGCATCAGAGCGTCTGTTTGGCTGGATTCGGTTAGCCGTTAGCCTCTAGATATCAGCAGAATTCAGAACATCCTGGCACAATTCGGAGGAGGACGACGAAGACGATGTCGATGGCTGATAGCGGCAGCGGCCGTGAGGAGTGGTGAGTGGTGCTGTTCCTGAACCCGAAAGCCCGATCGCCTGATCTCCGCGCGGGACCCGATGTTGCGTCGACGACCGAAAGGGGAAGCACTGAGGATTTCTTTTGAGCAGAACATCCTCAAATAGCAATCGTGCTGGAATCAATAGCAGTGGTATCCTTGCAGTGGAAAAAGATGCGATTTGGCGAGCCGCTTCAGGGAACTGACTGCTCACTTGCCCGTAGTGAACACCACCATGGCCGCTGGAAGCAGCTAAATGAAAAAAACAATGAGTAACATCCAGTTGTGCGCATGAACTGACTCATCACCTGCATGTTTCGCTGTTTCTTCCTTGTGCGAATCCAGCTGGCATCCTTCCCGCGCACCTCCGCAACGAGTCTCTGCTGCGTCGTGAATTCTGGCGTGCCGCTCCGGCCCCACTCTTACCTGCAGCCTCGTTTGCCTACTTAACCCCCTCTTACCTGCCTCTGCTAAACGTGACATCGCAGAAACCCGGATGGTGCGTACATGTGCGCCGTGTGTGCACCACTGTCTGTGGCCTTGCACTTGACCCTTTACCCTGGTGTCCCGCCGAGTTCTGACATAGCACCAGCCGAACTTACTCTTGCTTGCCGGTAACTTGGTTTCTGCATCGGTGACGAGAATGATCGGGAGGGGATGGTGATTGCAGTTGCGCACAGACACCTGGCGTATCCCTTCTCACACCTATGGCGACACTGTGGTTTTTCAAGCGGCCAGGCCAAGCCGCGAAGGCAGAACGATGTCCCGGAAGATGAAGCCGCCGTCAGGACGCAAACATGGAGGGGCAGGACGAAAAGAGAAAGGATCAAAAACTGGTAGATCACCTAAAAACCATGTGCAAAACGTGTTGAAATGCTAGCCTGTGGGCTGCCCGGCTCCCCGCTCTGAACCCACGACAGAACAGCGAGCGAGAGGAGGCCTCCTCGATCATCTTGGACACGGCATCTGTCGAGACGGCGGCCTGCCAGGACAAAAGCCGTGGCCAATTGGCCACGGCTTCCAAGTTCAGCGAGTGCTCGACATTCTACAAAGGAGAGTCGAGAGGGTTGCGCAAGGTACGCAAAAGGCTGCATAAAGAGGAGCAAATTGCGCGCACGTCCTTGTAGCTCGACAGAAGTTTCGAAGCCAGACCTGCAGCTGTACCACAAGCAACAGCAGAATAAAGGCAGCTCGTTTGTGAGCTGATGGATTCATGTCGAGAGCGGGAGCCTGTCAACATTGCCACATCGCTGGCCACGTCCTTCTCTCCATCGCCACCTCAGCACGCATCTGGTCGGAATCGACATGGACGGAACTGCAAAGCTACGGCATGTGTCTTTTGCAGGGTCGTCCATCATGTTGCGTCAGATTCGAGGCACTGCTTTCAGTGGTTCGGCAACTGCGTGCACTGCTCTCGACGCGCCACCTCAGCCGGGCCTTTGCTGCAACGCATGGCACTTCTTGGCGCTTCTGGCCACAGCAAGGCTTCAAATGCCGGCTGTTGCCGTACCCAAGATGCATGCGGTCTACCTTCCGCGCCAGTCTTCAGACTGCCATGCCATCTGACAGATAGCGAGTCTGTCACTCTGCTTGTGCCTCATAGATCTGACACAGCTGCCGGCTTGAGGGCAAGGCCAAGGTTCAAGACACTAATTCGTAGGAGCCAGAACCTGTATCCCTGTGCCGCCCCAAAAATTGTCGAGTTGTGTTCGGAAGTTTTAGGTTCTGAGCTTCGATCGGGCGTAGACACCACAGTGCCAATTCGATCCTTGCTGCAGCTGGCGGCGTCGGCTTGCTTTGAGCTAACCTTGTTTTGGCGACGAGGAAGATGTGGTTGCTGTTCAGTGTTCTGATGACAGGATAAAACTGGTCAAGCAAGCTGATTCCCAGCACATTCCTGGAAAATCTGTCTGCCCGCGTTTCGGGCCAAAGAAGAGTCCAAACTCCGAAGAAGCAGCAGGAGCATGGATGGCACTAAAACAGCATATACGGGCATACACGCACGGTTTCCCAAATGAGCTGGTGCACACCCTTCCATCCATTCCTGTCAGAAGATGTGGGCGAGATCTGCGAAAATGTTGCAGCAGCGCGTGTGACACCGTAATGGTAGCACTCTAGAAATCACGCAGCCACTCCAGTCGGCAGGTCAATCCCCATGGCCATGCTGATGTGCGTGGACAGGGATACTTGCACTGATTTTTTATAGTGGTAGTTGGACTTTAAGTAGGATTGGAAGCCAGGTGAAGCCATGGGAATGTGCCGTGACCCTGGGCAAGTGTCCAGGGTTAAAAACCAACATCCGTAATCGGCAGGTCGCAAGCACGCGGGTTTAGCGAGCGCTCGGCCTGACATAGCTCACTCTGCTCGGGCTGAGGCTGATGTACTTAGACATCTGGTGGGTTCCATGCCGGCTAAACACCTCCGGAAAGGCACAGCCTTAACAGCCTTCAGCTCCGAGCTATGAAACGTTGAGGCGCTAGGCTTAGCCTCGGAAAGGACACAGCTCAGTGGAGTGGCCGCTGGCCGGTCGGCGACTTCATAAAGGAAATGCAGCAGGGACGGTCGAAACCTTGGGCGAGCGGTTACGGCATGATGGGCGCTTGACATGAAGAAACTCTATAGGCTGCAGTTGAGTGACACTCCGCCTCTTAGGCCAGTCGGTGGCCACAGCTGGTGCAAAAGCGTGCTACTGGCCTCAGCACGCGTTGCACAACCACACTTCGGTTGTGCATTTCCACTGCGGTCATCTCTTGCCACGTCGCTGCTTCAAGCGGCTCCCGCACTCTGTACAGAACTGGCGAGTCCGCGCTTGGGCCTGGGTGTCGTCGCGGAGACAAGTCTAGGCAGAGTCTAGGCTGCACAATGCATACTTCCTCGTAGTTCCGCAGCCATGTTAAGAACAGCCAAAGTTAGCCAACATGTCTTTCGGGTTCTGTTCTGGCAAAGTGAGCTAGTCGATCTTCCAGCTGCTGGCACATCTTAACCGGAAGTGCATTGCACGTGACTCCCGCACTCTGCAAGTTTCCTCGTCTGCATTCACCATTGTATGTGAAATTGCCCTGTGCTCGCACGTATGCTAGTCTTGAGGTCAGGTGGCTGGCTTGGAGCTTGCCGTTGTGAGAGTCTTCTGTCCACTCCACTGGGTTTGCCAGGAGTGCCATAGGTCCTGGTACTGGTGCTCCCAAAGCGAAGCATGATGATGAAGGAAGTTGCTCTCGCATCATCGCGGTCTGCAGCACATACATGCTCTCCAAAGCCTGCCTGCATGGCGATTTTTTGCGCGGAGGGCAGCCTTTGGAATTGCAACACGCGGAATGTCGGGTCGATGCATTCTGCACTGCTGAGTTGCCACATATACTTAAGGTGCGGACGAGGATGTCCCTGGAATCATTGGTCTGCTAGCAGCCTCGACCATACAACACAGGCAAGATCCACCATATTGCACCATGTTATTCACGGAAGCCCAGATGCTTGACGAGCCAAACTTCAAACTGCACGGAACTGCACGGAACGGTTGAAGGGCAGCGAGCTACGAGAGGATGGCGTTGACAGCTCGTACAGATGTCAAGAGGAGAGACTTTCCGCGTCTGACGCCTCCAATGTGTTCCAGGTACTCGACAAGCCGGGTGGAGCGATCCTTTGCTCAAAGCACATGTCCGGAACCCGGCCTATGTAGGGCATCTCTTTTGGAAAAGAGCTCGCGGAACAGGCCAAAGCACCAAGCAGCTTCGAAATGACCAAACCAGGTAAACAGCGCGGGTGAAAATCTAGTTGCAAGCGTAGCCGAGTCGAAGACGAAGCAGACTCAAAACTATAATTTGGTCCGCAGCTGTATCCAATCGTCATGCAGCATGGTGCAGTGCCGAACAATACGCATGCCGGCACTCTACGACAATGCAGTCCTCCCCTCTGACATGTACTACTGGTGGCAATGAGCTCTAACTTCGTCATGATAAAGCACGGCAAATGGATCAGAGGCTCGGATAGCCCGGGGAGTGTTGCCAGACTTGCTGGCAGAACCTGGTCTGTGCAGGGATCACACAAAGCCATTGCACCCATGGACAGTGTCCTCGCGGCCTGCGGCCTGCTTGCAGACGAATTCTGTTACCGTTGAGACAACCGTGCCTCCGTGCCTGAACGACCTTCAATCCTCGTCAAGACTCGCGCACCCTTTCCCCGGCCTAACCCGGAAGCTACGACTCAGCGAGGTGGTCGGCTTTTTTAG